CGAATTATCTCACTCGTGACTTGATTTTTCAGCAACAGTAAGATTGACCGCGGGTTGACATAGCACATTACATAACAATTTTATCACACGTACATAAAATTATTTATTATGCCAGGCCCTGACAACACTTCTATTCAACCCATACATGGGAAACCGTTGAATGTGCACAGCTTTTCATTGCTCTGATTGGCTGTGTGCCCCTTGCCATGGCATTAAATGAAATATTTACGTGTTGGAAATGATATTGATGGCGATAAGATGGGGATGTAGTATTTATTGACGCACTCACAGTAATGTTAGAAAACAGAAATAAACACTGTTTTCCTACAACCAGTTTTGAGCTGCTTGTAGTGGTTTCTAGTGTTTGCTGTGTTGGTATGTAAGTAGAATGTAGTGGAGGTTCAAGTGTTTCCCCCACCACCCCCCGTTTCGTCATATTCTTGAAAAATGTAAAGTGAACCATACAGGCAATTTTCGAGCTGCTTTTTGCCTCTGTCAAAAGGCGTCTTCGTGCGAAACCATGCATTTTCATGCAAATCAAACTCATTTTCATATGAAAGGTTTTGCACGTGGACTCGTTTTGAAACAGAGGCACAACGTTTCTCGTAATCAAGTCGAGGTTCACTTTCACTACTTTCCCTCCTAACCACCCTAACTTCAACGAATAGGATTCATTTCTACCCTCCCCCCGCCTCCCCGAACCAACCGTATATACGCAAATCTGGTTTAGTATAGTGTCACTGATTGAGTCACGCAATGTCCCAAACAGAAAAAACAGCTCAGTCACTCGTAGCATCACTTACCATCTACTTGAATGCAAAATATTTTATATTAAGAGTTGGAAGAGAAGGTCGAGAAACGTATGCCGATTACCGGATTGATTTGAAATTTTTGCCTTTTGGAACACCCTCGAGAAATTTAATGTAATAATTTCTAAGTCCGTGACAGTAGTTATCGAGGGTCCTTCATCAGAATATTCAGGCTCTCGACAATGTTCGCCACCCCACGTTAATCTTCGGAAATCATCGGGTTATCTTCGGAAAACCGAACCAACTGACTGCCCTGTTATATCTATTTATCTTTTGCAAACAGATCAGAGTTCAGAGCAACAAAGATTTGTTTATTTATGTGACGCTTATGACAGGCATTTGGCCTTTCCGAAGCTCAAATTCACAGTTTCGCGGTTCAAAAAGACGCGTGGCCAAAACTGAGTAGAAAACAGCCTTGTTCTCCAGGATATATCCTTTGTTGATCAAAAACTACTTTTCTCTCCCTACCCTCTCATCCACCACACTTAGACATTTCCTTTCATTTTATTTCTGCATGATCAGTTCTTAGGAGACCCATTCGAAGACGTTGAAGCTATGATCAATCAAAGGTGAAAAACAAAGCAAAATTCGCAACTTTTACTGTCTTCTCGTTTTCGTTTAAGGAGAGAATCCATGGACATTAACCTGTAATCTTAGAACTCAAATATAAAACAATATCAGCGTTGTAAGTCATAATTTTGAATAAAAGATGCAATCATGTTTATTGCTGGACAAAACGCCATCAGACAAAAGAAGATCTTGCGCGCGCGATGTCGCGAAGCGCGCGCTCTGCAACTAGCATCATAATTGCAATTAAATTACATCACAAATGGCTAATGCGTAACGAGAGATCGTAGTGCTTTAGAAGCGGACGTATTTTCTCGACAGGATTTAAAATCGTTCATAGAGATTTTATTTGGACTGCAATCATTTTTTTAGCATCATGGATGCTACGTTAAACAGGAAGCGAAGACTTTCCGTTACCGACGAGGTCGCGCAATCATCACGCGACAGGCAAAAAAGAGATTCTTTATATGAGTGCGCACCTGCTAAAGTCAAGAAGCTTGAATTTGACTCAAAGGTGAGTTTGTATTTTTAACGCATCAGTTTTGAATTTTCTTTTGAAATCTCATTTGTCTGCTAAAAAAGAATACCCCTTTTAAAGTTGACTTCTTTTTCTCTATTTCCAGCCCTACGCGACCGTGAACTTTACAACGGAAAAAATTCCCAAAAGGTTAGTAAATGCAGATCTGCGAGTGCAATGAAAATTACCTGCGCGTGCATTCAACTGAACGCTGCTTGAACTTGTACTCACATTTTCTTTCCTGTAGCCGTAGAAGAGCTCATAGCGAGTCTGATTTGGAGACTGATCATGAAGGCAAACCGGCAGCAAAAAAGATCTGCCTGTCGACTTCAGAACCAATTGTGAGTTTTTAAAAGCGTTGAAAACGTTTAATGTTCTGTACTGTGAAGTTTCCTGTCGAGAAACATTTCTACCCTTATTCGAATGCCGAACACATGGTAATAAAGAAGAAACACTTTTTATGGTCTTCAACGTTCCTTTCCTTCATTATAGTATACCAAATCGCATAAATAAATTAAACGCCTGTAATGTATTATGACAACTATCTTCTTACTAGAAAAAGACTGAAACCAAAACAGTTGCAGAGGAGGAGAAAGAGAAGGTCGTTGTTGAGCCCAGTGAGACATCGGCGAGTACCAGCCAGGGCCATTTTAGACGCAAAAAGACACGTAGAGGTATGAATTCACACTGGATTCCAAGCTCAAAATATTAATTCTCATTAATGGTTACCATAGATTTCTTTTAATTTGAGACCAAAGAAATTCAGTACTGATAACTTCATCCCCGCCCCCTCTGCACACATGTCAGACTTATTGCCCCTCCCGCCAAACCATCACTACCGTACTTGATAGTTCCCGTGCTAAACCCAAAGTTGCAAAGAAAACCGACCAATGACTGATGACAAACTTTACACGAGTCTTTCAGCCAATACCATCATGGCTAAACGGACCAATCACGTTCAACGGACCAGACTTNGTCGATCTCTAGCAGGCGTAAAACTTTCAAGGGCTCACAGCTGACAGGAAAGTGAAGAACTGGAAACTAACTGCAAATGAACTGAAAACTTAAGAAAACGACAGCTGGATAAATTGAGCTTTAGGTATTGCACAACTAAAGAGGAAAAATTTCGAATGAGTAAAAGAATTGCATGAATGTCAATTTTGTTTGGTTCTTCGTCCATTATTAAGTAAAGTCGCTTGGTTTTGTTTGAATTTCGTAACTATTGCTGTGCAATGCTGGTAACAAATGCAAAGACAGAACGGTTCCCAAAACACTTTTCTGTTAAGTTTTTTTTCATAAATCAAGAAATCAAGTTTTTTTTGTTGTATTTCGAAGAAAGAAAAGCAACGATGCAGTAAATTACAATCTGGGTGACCTTTACCCTCCCCTCCCTGGTTGTAACATACTGAATGAATTTGACTTATTTAAGTACCCTTGCCCCTCCCCTCCCTTATTGCAGATCAATGGTCGACAGTTCCCAGCTGAAGCTTTCTACCAGCGCCATGTTCACCACCCGAACATCATTGAGCTGCTGGACGTTTTCACCCACGAAGACAACTTCGTGTTTGTCCTCGAGCGTCCGGAGAAGTCTTCGGACTTGTTCGACTACATCGACGAGCGTGATTACCTAGCCGAAGACGAAGGACGTCGGTTTTTCACTAACATCCTGGACGCCGCAATTCAATGCGAGGGATATGGTGTGCTTCATCAGGATATCAAGCCTGAGAATATCATTATTGATTTGTCCAAAATGGAGGCTAAGCTGACTGATTTTGGTCTTGCTAATGACATCCAAGTTGAACCCATCAGGCACTTTGTAGGTAAGGGGTGTACAACAGATGAGAATGCCTTGTTGTGTCACTAAGTGGGAATACCTTTTAACTCTAGGAGGGACCTTCACGATGGTTTTTAGATAGTTTTTCAATTAATCGATAACTCGAAACCCAAACAATTGCAACCCAAGGAACCAAAGAGTGATAATTTGAAGCACATACGCGAAACCTAGACAATGCTAGATACTGGCTAAAACAAACCAAAGTAACTATTCCAAATTTCAAACTCTACTCCCCGGATTGTACTTTGAGCACAGACTGATTTTGATAGGATCAAGTCCTTAGTCAGCATGGGTGTATGAATCAGTAATCACAGGAGCCATAATCGGGGAAACCGATTTATGGCTCCTGGTATTCACTAAGACCCACAGTACAAGGTTCTCCATGAGCGTTCTCCGTAGAACCTCTCAAATTCGATCCGAAATACTTCAATTCTTCGATTCACTGCTCTGTCTAGCTCTGAAAAAGGTAAAGGATCTTTCCTTTGTCTCACTTTTTCGACAAACTTTGCGGCAACTTACTTATTTTTTGACTCTGTTCTTTTCAGGCACTCAGCACTATTGTCCACCTGAGTTCTATTCTCACCACTGTTTCCTTGGTAGCCAGGCCACCGTGTGGCAGCTCGGTTTCCTATTGGCTGAGATGTTGACCGGCGAGATGCCTTATGTGAAGCCCCGTATGGCTTTGTACATGCATCCATCCATCCCTAAACACATCTCAAGGGGTAAGAAGATCTTTACTACGATTGTTAGTTCTGTAAGGATGTTGCCATGGGCAACTTTCCTCGTTTCCAATGGTAACAATATTTTCGTCTACAATACAATTTCGCGCGCTCTGCTGCTAATGACGTCGAAGGCCAACAAGTCGTGTCTTACCCATCTGATAATCGTAGGAATGTTGAGATAAAAAGGATGTTACTGGATTTAAACGTTTTCTTATGAATTTTGAAAAGTAATCGTATTCAAGTGATTATCTGTTTTCTTTTGTTCCGCGTTAGAACTGAAAACATTGTCGATCTTTTACAAAAGATTTATACTCGAGTGTACCAAAATATGATCGATTTTGCTTTCTTTCTTGAAATAAAACAAGTGTTTCATTCCCATAATCTAGCGATTGTTAATTGGTTGTTTCCTCTCTTTTTTACAGATGCTCGAAGTTTGATTTCATGGATGCTGTCAAGAGATCCGGATGCGCGCCCGACCCTGGAGCAGGTCAGGCGCCATCCATGGATCTACAAACGTCACTGAGGCGCATGTCCCGGCCTCCCATGAGCCGGGCATGCGCAGCAGGTACAGGGAGGCACCTGCAAGAGCAAGGAAGAATCCAATTGGTTCCAAGCCTCCCGGGAAGTCAACATCAGGATCGTTTGCCAGCGGTTCCCGTCAGCTGGACTGCAACAAGCACTGAAGGCATCGGCCAAGGAACAATGCAACTCACTTCCAAGCCTCCAAGTCATATAATATAAGTGCCATTTGCAAGCACAGAAGACACTAGTCAAGGAACAATCCAACTCAGTTCCAAGTCTCCAAGTCAGATGACATAAGCGCCATTTGCCAGCGCTTTCCATCAGATGTGCATGTGTAACAGGTCCAGAAGATACCGGTCAAAAAAAAAAAATCTAACTCAGTTCTAATCCTCCAGGTGAGATAACATCAGCGCCGTTTGCCAGCACGAGCAGCTCCCATCGGATGGGCATGTGCAACATTTACAGAAGATCAGCGTCGTTTACCAGCGGTTTCCATCAACTGGACACGTGCAACAGGTACAGAGAGCAACTGTCAAGGAGCAATCTTGTTCTAGCAAAGATCAGCTTCGCTTTGAAGGTGACATAGGCCAGCGGCTTACCATCAGTCGGGCATGTTCAGATACAGTAAAGCAACTGCTGAGGGACATCACATCTTCTTCTAGACCTCCAAGAAAACGCCAATCAGCTCCGTTTCAGAGAGAGCAGAAGCTAGTGGTTTACCATTATCTAAGCATGTGCAGGTAAAGGAGGGCACAGCTTCAGAACCATCAGAAATTGTTTAGATCCTTCAAGAAGGAAAGGATCAGCGCCTTCTCAACGGTAAACACATGCCAGTGGTTTACCATAAGTCACGTACTGGTACAAGGAGGCACTGCTAACGAACATCGAATCTTGTTTCCTGTACTCCAGCTGAAAGCAAATGTCAGGGACATTTTAACACTAAAAACCCATGCCAGCGCTTATCATCAGCTGGGCAGGTAGAAGCACTAGGAACGCTTGAAGCCTACTTCGATGCAACAGACCACTTCACCCGAAACCCTCTATGGACTTTCTTGTAACTGTAACACTCTACAAATGATGACATTTATTATCATGAGTCCTAGAACTTTTAATCAGACGCTAAATTTCGACCTAAATTTAATGTCAGTTTGTTCAATTTGAATCTATGCCGGCGCCACCATTTTGCTGCAAGTAGAGGCTAATGATATGGAGTTGGATGCAGCTTGACTTGAATAAAGTCACTACTTGCAGCAAATGGTGACGAGACTAACTCCATTCTATATCAGTTCATTAGCTATACTACATACTGTTCTAATTAGCTTATGCCTTGCTAAAAAAAAAACCCAGTTCGTCTATCTTTCTTATCAGAAACATTTAGAGTCGGAGAACAAGCACCACTGGACGCGTAAGCCGTGGTCCTGAGATCAATAACAAAGTATTATGATGGAATACGAGAAACACCTAATGTTGTTTTTCTATCACCACAATGTGTTTTCTCCTAATGTGAGCCTTCTTAGCCTTAGCTATCAAAGTAGAATCTCTTGGATACTGGCATTCGATTCTCTTACAAAATGACTCGACTTTTCCGTCGTTAATTATAATGACGAGGACGACAAGGCAAAATGGGGAAGGAAACTATTTTGATTTTTCCAATCCCCATTCCCCTGTTCCCCTTTCCCCCGATTTCCCCTACAAGTTTCCTCCCTGCCTCCTTTTACAATCCGTCTTTTCGAGCCATTTTTTAAGGCGGTCGAAAGTAGGAACTCCAGAGACTTTATTTCCTTGTTCTTTTCTCATCACGGACAGAACTACTGGGTTAAAATCGCTCAAATTGTGAGAATTCAACACAGATGAAGGATAAAAAACAACACTTAGCAAAATTTAGCCAAATTTTGGCCGAGAAATTATTGAGCCTGCAATTTTCACCGGGGCATTATGTTGCTAAACAACAAGACGTCTAGAGCATTCGGAATGCCAGTGGTGTTTGGACTTTATTCCATTAATCAGAAACTTTTCCATCATGCTTCTTCTTTGACCAAAACCGGCTCCATACGAACTTTTATATTCATTAACTGGCAGTGCAGTACTTTTGAAGTTTTTTCTACAAAGTTCAGATCAACTCAGCATCGAAATAATCTATTACAGTCACCTTTGATAATCAGCTTTTAAAAAGCGTCAGTGATGCATTAAACATTGTCTTTAAATAAGTGATGATGCATGTTATTAAAAAAATATGTTGCATTGCAATCCTTGTTTGTCATAAGATTTGTTTGGGTTTAAGCTTTGCACACCCTTTCTTAAATCCATGATAAACGTTTGATCTGGGGCACTTACCATTTACATGGGAAAACCGGAAATTCCAGTTGGAAAATCAAATGGTTCGTGCCATTCCGTTTGGGAAGCTTCAGAAAATATGGGCTGTGATTTGAGGTGATGCTATTTTTCTGCTGTTTTAAGTCTCTCTAGCTGATGTGGATATACTTTATAGCGATTCCTTCTCCCGCAACGTCGCATGCAATTGTTTAATCTTTATGCCTGAAATTTCCAACCGGATGGTTTTTGTAAATGGTAAGCAACCCTGGTCTTCGTTTATCTTGGTAACGATTTCTACGTTAGTTTTTACAGAGAAGAAGAAATTTCACCAGAGCACTCAATTTAACTACTGTTCGTTTTCTTTACGAAGTTTCCCGTTAGGTTTTTCCAGTTTTTTCGTGCCGGGTATTAATTATCTCTCTTTCTTTTGTTTTAAGCTGTACACACCCTTTCCCAATCCACTCTCACGGAAAAGATTTCAGATAATTATGGTACCAATATCATACTTTAATTGGCCATTGTCCTTTTGGGGTCTTATTTAAACAGTAGCAACCCGACATGACATAAAATTCGAAGAGAGCTTTTAGATAAGAATGTTCGCCTGCAAACTAGTTGTGCTGCATGACATTTGCAGACTTCAAACTGCATGTTGGTCGAAATAGCTGCTATTTGTATTGACAGATAATTTCAACTTTCTGCCCTCGATTTGAACTATTTGCGATCAATTTCATCTTTTTGCACGTGCACTGTTTGGGATTAATTGACGTACTCTTGGCCAATCAGCATGCTGAAATATTTGCAATGGCGAAATGACGAAATGGCACCACGGGTAAGAGCCAATGTGAGATGCAGGGTTAACCCTATTCCAGTTGAGAGCTGTAAACCACTGTCAAACCATTCATTTAAGCTGGACAGTAGTGCTATTTCGTCATTTCGTGTTTTAAACAGACCCGCCGGTTAGTATAGGTAATCATACGGTTTCGAGTTCAATTTGGNACTGGGTTCAATTATAGAGAAAAATAACGCAGATAGTGCGGGTGTTGAGTAAATAAAATGATCGCTGTATTGACGGCATGTTTGTTTTTTGCAATCCTGGTGCGCGCGTTGAATTGCATCAGCAAAAGCGTGCGCGAAAACTGTGTTCGGCCACCTTAAGCAAACCACGACGGCAACGGCAACGAAAACGCCGCCAAACAAAAGGTTTTATGAGCAAAACAATAGCTGTGCACGAGCGTTATAAATCTTTGTACATTTCTTTGCCGTCCTCTGCAAAACAACAACGTGAAATGACCAATTTTTGGGTATTTTGAAGAAAGTGAGCCACGACGGCTAATTTTTCGTATTTTCTTCTAGAATTATTCGCTGGCGTTACATCTTTAGTTTGAGTAGAGTTTTAGACCGCTCGGTGTGCAGAACAGTTCTAGATAATTGCGAAATTCAAAGGTAAAATTTAAGTCCATTATTTTTCCAGCCGTCGACCTTGGCGTTGCCACTATCATTGCGTAAGCTTCCTAATAATAATAGGCGCGTGGAGAACCAATCACGATCGAGAATTTTGTTATAGATACGATTATTATCATTATTGTTATTAGTATAGGTAATCATACTGTTCCTCGTTCAATTTGGAATTAATTTGCACGAGTGAGTTTTTCAAAAAGCTGATTAACTCCAAATTAAACGAGAAAAACCGTATGATTACTTATTAATAATATAAACGTGAAAAAATTCGCGCGGAGGAAGTGCCGGAAGATCTTTCTTGAAGCCATTTTTTCTCATTTGAGAAAACTTTTTTCAAAGTTTCAGCACAAAATTTTCTTCATGATTTTACGTGGAATCATTTTCTTAGAAAAGTTCCTATTGTCTTTCAGTCAATCATAATCCAGAATTTCGATGTGTAATTTGCACTGGTGTTACACTTTTTGCACTGATGTT